AAACCAACTTTTCGATATTAAAATTAGTTTGAGTATGCTTAAGCGCCTAAAAATATGTTAACAATATTTATGAAATATTAGTAGCATACTTTTGTGAGCACAAGAATAACACAACGAACATATAACACAGAAAAACAGACTGTGCTCTATGCAAGAAAGTGCAAAAGCCAAGCAACAGTTAGAAATTAAAAAGAAAAAAAAGGCACACAACGGTGTAACCACTTACCGTGTTCGTCTCTGTACTCCTTGCCCGCTAAGCCAACACCGCCTCCACCACTACCACTCACACCCTCCACGCCTGTATGCGTGGGTATCGTCGACGCCGTTGTTGTTTGCCACTGCCGACGCGCATATAATTTGCTCAGCTTGCTCGCCATGCCGCTGCCACCACCGCCGCCGCTCCCACTGCCGCTCACGCCACCATCGGAAGACAGCTGCTCCGGTGAGGTAGGCGGCGAACGCGAGCTACGTACTGTGCTCTCATTCAACGGTAAATAGTGCTGCGGCAACGGCTGATATTGCAGCTGACTGGGACTCGTGCCAAAGGCGGTGCTGCTTGTAGCTGCCGACGTTTGCGGCGGTGGCGGTGGTGCGCAATTTGGCGGCGAGCGTTGTTGGCGTTCGTGTAAATCGCTCAGTGCTATTTGTGAGGATGAGGACTGTGTGGATGATTGACTAGAAGTTGAATGTGAGGAAGAGGCAGCGCTGGTAAGCGGCATGTGCTGATGGTGTGACTGCTGTTGCGGATAGCGTTGTTGCTGCTGTTGTGGCAGTTGGTAGTGGTGCTGATTGCCAGCGCTGCTGCTGCTGTTGCTGTAATGCATTGGCATGTTGGACGCGGGCGCGGGCGCGGCGGCAGTTGATGAGAGGTAATTGCCGGCGAGAAAGGGATTTGTGGATTGCTTTTGCTGCTCCTTACGCTTTTCTAACTCTTTCTCACGCAGTTGGTTTTGCTGATGGTAGAAGCGTTGTAGCACTAAAACCAAAGAATATTAATTCGAATAAATAGAGTTTGGTCTAAAACAAATTACCCACCTATGGGACTGTGATTACCGGGTACGCGCTGTTGCGTATTCATCTCACTGCGATTAACTGGTATCAGCGATGGCTGTTGCTCCTTCTGCGTCGGTTCCAACGCCATGCCTATGGGCAGTGTTGGCGAAGCGGCCCCACCTTGAAAACGCTTACGCGTCATTGCTGGCGAACCAAGCGCCACCGTCTTCGGCAAAGCCGGACTGTCATACACATCGAATGCATTGCCGCCCATCTCCTGCACATTCGGCATGCGCCAAAGTGGATCCACTTGATGCGGTTGTGGTGTATGATGCTTCTTTTGACTAAATGGCGACGTGGTGAGGTTGCGTATAATCGATTGACCTGTAAGTAGCGCACTTACAGTTAGTGCGCACATAAAATAAAATATAAAAAAAGCATCGCCCACCTATACTGCTAAACATGGATTCCTTTTTGGGACTCTCGGCAACGCCAACCGCACTGGTGTATTTCAAACCTGAACCATTGCTATATTTGCGTTGCAGAAACGGTGATTTGCGGTACAATTTGCTCATCTCGCTGACAATATGTGTGGTGTCGTCCTTGTGCGTTGCATCCTTGTAGCTGCTGCTCGGCGGCGACTGTGGACTGCTGCTGTTGGCGCTATTGCTGCCAGAACCACCGCTGCCGTAACCATTGCCCCCGCCAGCGCCGACACCACTGCTTAGAGCAATGCCGCCGCCAGTGTGGCCGCAGACGCCACCGCCTCCACCACGCTCGCCCTGTAAATGATTGTTGGCGATGGTGTTGTTGTAATAGCTTGCAATCGGCTGAGGTAGTTGTGATGGTTGATGATGATGTGACAACTGCGTTTGCGCGTGTGGATATTGTGGCTGATAATGTGGCAGGTAATCGTCTTTTTTGTAGCGTGACGCAAGCGCTTGTGGCTGTGTATTGTGTGTGGCTGTGGCTGTGGCGCTGTGATAGGAATTCTGATAGCTGGGTATGTGTGTGATGTTTGTGATGCTTGCCGCTGGCATTTTTGGATTTATTGTCGTTGTTGCAATTGTTGTTGTTGCTGTTGGCAACATAGTTGCATTTGCAATTTTGTTATGTTTACTATTTGATACTGCGGTTACATCTCCTCTGAGTGTAGCTGTGGTTGTTGTAGTAATTGGCATGTGAGTTCTGTAAAAATCATGACGCGTATTACTAAAAATCGAAAATTATTATCGACTAAATGATGCAACAGAAGAATAATAATTTTATAATATAAACATTTATGGTGATAAATGGTACAAGTGAGAAGTGTAATATGTGCCTACAAACTATGTGGGGGCTCTATAACAAGATTTTATGTGCCTGGGCTCTGGGCTGTAGGAGGAGGAAACCTGGCCAGAGCATGATTATAAAGAATTATTGAAGAAATAAATCTGCAAGAAACTGTTGTAGAGTACTCCGGGTGCGGGAGAGACTAACCCTGATTACGCACTCTTCTCTCGTTTCCCTTGGATTAAAGTTGACTTACTGAATGTTTAAAGTCAGAAATCGCAAAGCTCTTAAAATTTTTATTAATATACTTGAGTAGATCCTCAGGTGGGAAAAATTCGAACTAATCCACCAAATCCTAACTGCTTGCGATGGTTTTATTGACAAGCGGAAGGCGACAAATCAGTGCCTGATAAATATGAAAGCTATATGCAGCCTGGAGAACAATCAATTATGTATATTCCCATGCAGTTTTTCCATTATCGAAACATCTTTGAACATAATGATGCTGTTACCAACCATAAAAACTCAGGCGCGGTTGAAAGACTGTGTTTTTCTTAATATTTTTGCATATTTCTCCGCGCCTGTAGTGGCAATAAATGTTTAATGATAAAGAATTTATGTTGTGGAACATTTAAAGATACTTTTAAAGCTTTAATGTCACTTGGAAAATGCTGATGCAGCAGCATTAACAGAGGGAGAAGCGTATGTTGGTCGTATATAACTTTCGCTTTAGAGATTCCGCTTTTATTTTTCCTGCTTTAAAGGAAAGTGGAACGATTTTAAGCATCTAGTATTTACTGGTTCTATAACTAAAGCATTTCCTCGATAGTATAGCGGTTAGTATCCTTAAATCTGCACAGTTATGAAGCGCTTATCCAACCAAATTCTGTTTTTCGAACTTTTGCCTCGATAATATAGCGGTTAGTACTCTTAAAACCTAAGTAACAAACTTATTCGTAAAGACACATTCTGTTTTTGAGTTTTTCCCCCACACCATAGCAGTGAAACACTCGTCTATTACAAACCCAACACCTGAGACCTTTTACAATAAACTGTGCACATATAAATCTCTACAATGCCTACAGTCTTCTCGAATAAAAAACATTGTGCTGGAAGCAACTAGTCTACAAAGTGCACTATCATATGCTTACGGATGATGTGTGATGAGAATGATGCTTTAATTTAGAGGTTCCATTATTTTTGATAAATTTTTTATTATTTGCATTAAGAGCTAAGGGAAACTCCAAACCAAAAATCTAATAATTAACAAACTTACTTTTTTCGAAAATCGGCTACATACCGCTTATTTAAAAATAGCAAACATAAAATGTCCAGATACCATTAAATAAATATAAAACAACTCAAAGAAATGCAAAAACAAAAACAAATGAAACGGAAGAAGCAAAGTGTATTGTTTTATTATTATTATTTTTTTTTTTTTATATAATGAACCAACAACCAAAATTCAAAGCGTTTTTAAATGCAGCAATGATATGAACACAACAACAATAAATAACGTAATGAAACAAAAAAGTATACTTACTGAATTGGGAGAGTATGTTTTATTGTTTGTTTTATTATTTTTGAGGGGGTAAAAGATTAGGAATTAGGTAACCTACAAAAAATTTCAATAAAAAAGAAAGAAAAACAAATTAAATAATAAAACGCAAAAATTATGCTGGGAGCAAAAGTAAATCGTATTTTTTTGTTTTTTTTTTAATATTATTTCAATGCATGTTTTTATTATGGCGTTTTATTAGTGTTTTATCATGTTGGAATGCTAGCAGCGTAAATAAGGGTTTGAAAAAGTATGCGTTAAAATAAATGATAAAGCTAAATCATGACAGTGAAGGCATAACAATTTAAAATTCGGCCAAAATTCTAGTTAGTAAGAGTAGAAAATATTTAAATTGTTAAAAAAAATGCATGCTTACAGTAAAAAAAAGTAAATGAAAATTTTTAAAGAGTTCAAAGTAAAATAATAACAAAGTCACTAAGATAATTGGAGCCAAACTTTAAATTAAAATTAAGCATGCGCTTTAACCAGAACTAAAAAAAACTCATTTTATCGTTAAATAAATTGTAGCTGTATCAAATCTTATCTTATACTTTTTAGAATATTTTATTGGAAAATTTTATAATTTTTAGCATTTTAGAACATATTTTACAATGCGAAAAGAAAAATAAGGACTTTTTGATTTTTAATATATTCAAAAAAATATTATTATAGAATCATTTTCTGGCTGCTAATTTTATAGCACAATATTATAAATATTTGCATGATTCATTTCTACACAAATTTATATTAAAAAGTAAATTAAGTTAGGCTCTAGAAGTAACAAGCACTTATTTCATATTAAAAAAACAAAATTTTATACAAATAAAAAATGTTTGCAAAATTTCGAAAACGCAATCACAAGCAACACACAATCCTACCTCGAAAGTGGCATAGTCTTAGAAGAAATGAATTTTGAAAAAAAAACTATAGTGTACTAAAAATGCAGTGAGGATATGGCACTAGCACGCAGCAGAATAGTAGCGTGTGGATTGCGGGACTATAAGTAATAATCGGCAACTAAATTAGAATGTGTATAATTCTCGCACATACCTATGCATCTCTATGTCGGCTGATTCGACAACAGTCTTAAACCATTGAACCACATTTACATCAGCCGCATCGTAGTAACGAAAAAATGGTTGCTGCAAGAGTTCCTGGTATCTGGGGCGCTGATGTACATTCTTCGTCAGACTGAAATGCGTTAAATAAAATATTTACTCAATATGCTTAATAATAATTAATGTTACACGCACCATTTATCGACAAAGTCGCGAAACTCTTGGCTGAAATCGAAACCATCACCGTATGGCAAACTGGGTGGTTCGTGATCCAAAATTTTAGTCAGCACCTCAAAGTCTATATTGCAGCCTTCGTAAGGCGAACGGCCGGTCGCGAGTTCCACTAGCGTTATGCCCAATGACCAAACATCGGCGCGTATATCATATTTCGGCTTTTTCGGATCGATACGTTCGGGCTGAAAGCATTTGTTAAATTAATATTATATTTAAATACAATGTTTGTGAGCAAAAACCACTTACCGCCATGTAAGCGGCGCACCCGGCAGAACGTGTATTCGCTTTTGAATCTACAAGTCGCCCGCTAATGCCGAAATCGCACAATTTGATATTGCCCTGTTCGTCGATGAGGATATTTGATGGTTTCACGTCTCGATGTATGACATTGTGGTTCTTTTTTAGATAAGAAAGAGCGTGCACCGTCTAGAAATATAATGGATTTAAGAAATATCATAAGCCAGGCAGTATTTGTCATCGTTATGTTGGGATTTTAGGTAGTCTTGCATTATGATTGTTTTGTTTTTTACTTTTACTCCTTTACTGTATAGGTTTATTATATAGTATAGCAGCGAGCAGTAAAAACAATACTTCTTTCCTCGATAGTATAGTGATCGGTATCAATAATGTTGTTTCGGCGTACTTACCGCCACAGTAACCTTCCCTAGTATATTCTCCGGCACCGATTGTTTGGAACGTCTTAACAGCTTATCAAAACACATCGACATCAGTTCCATGCATATCCACACATCCGGTATATTTACAAAATAACCTAAACAATGCACTATATATGGGCAGTCATGTGAATTTAGTATAACATCGAGATCCATGAGTATACGGTTATTCTCTTCATCATTGCCAGTGCTGCGCATTTGTTTTACGGCTAAAATCGTGCCCGTAGGTTTGTGTCGCATTTTCACCACATTCCCACTAGTGCCATTACCCAAATCGCTCAAGTGCTCCAAATCCGACATTATACTTGTATATTTTTGGCCATTTATAGTTAATATACCGGATTGCTGTCGTATTCTTTTAAGTTTCTTGTGCATTTCTGTTTGTGGACCATTGCGATTTGTGTTCGGCATAACCACTGGAATGAGAAAACAACAATTTATATTGCTTTGAAAATATTTCAAAATTATCTTTGTACATATACATATATAGTATTTCGACAAATGATAGTGATGGAAGACGAAAGTTGAGAAAAGAGGAAACATTTTCTATTTAACAAGGTATCTTTACTATCTTTACGAAATTTGGTAAAGATTAGTGTTCCGGGCAGCGCTTTAACATTCAAACAAATTGCCTGGATCGGACGACTAGAGCTACAAAGCTTCAGTACCAGCCGAACGATTAAAATAAATTTCTTGCACGAAAAAATTTATTTGATAAGACATTTTCACGTCATGAATTATACTGCAAAGCAACGATACAATATCCAAACAAATTTCTCAGACTAGTAGACGACTAAAATAAAGTTCTTTTATGGACAATTCTCCTTATTTGACAAGATATTTACACGAAACCTGACGAGGATTATTACTCAAAGTAATACTAAAAATTGCAAACATTTTTTTTTCCAAATCGGAGCAAATAGAATACAGCTGCAATACAAACTGGAGGGATCAAAATCAAGAAATTGTAATTTATTTGTGAACGGTATTAATGCATCGATGCAGCCGAAGTTTGTGTTATTTCTTATTTTATTATCATATCATGTCATTTATACAGTGCCAAAAATACGCTCATTGGTAAATACGATTGTTCAAAACTGTCGCATTCGAAGGAGGTCGAAAGAAAAGTGCCAAGCATAAATAAAAGAAATCAATAAATCAAAAATAAACATTCACTCTTCGCTCTTCAACAACACTGTCGCATTGCAGCTGGTAAGGAATGTACTTCCGTTTTGATTAAGCATTGTTGCCAAAAAATTGATTGGCTGAAACGCCCAACATCCCACCAACCAACCACCCACAAGCTCGTCAACAACATTACATTATTTATATCAACAGTGCTGATAGTTCACAATAGATCACACTATACACTATCTTCTCACCAACATGAGCTGCGATTTTCACAACTTTAACACCCACCAACCATACACCACCAGGCAGGTTGCCCACAAACAAACAAACCCCACCAGTAACAACAACAAATTGTAAAACAGCTGCGTAAACCCAAAGCATAAAATATTATTTGCAAGCAAGCAGATTTTAAAACAAAAAATACAACAAACTTCGCGACATACAAACGCATGCAACGAACGAGCAAAAACAACGAAAGATGGTGGCAACGCTTACGCAGCCGTTGGCAGCACAACATAAACTTGCATTCATTTAGATTACGGAAAACAAAAAATTCATAACAACGACGTTGACGTAGACGTCTACGCAGTAGATACCTTTAAAGCGTATAAAGATAAAAAGGTATTAATGCGGACGCACACATGCGAACAAACAGCAGCAACGAAAATATGCCTCTGTACTGCTCGTCCGGAAATACCGAAATATCCAACGATACACAACAACAACATTGCATAAAAGCACACATACTTATGAACATAGCGATGACAGCAGAATAGTAACGACGGCTCAATAAAGGGGGGAAATAAGAAATAAAATAAAGTGTATCAAAACGTATCGACCAATAAACTGAAAAACTGATATAGTAGGTAAAACAAACAAAAAATAAGTAGTAAAAAATTCCACATGAAAATAGAAAAAATGCCAAAAACAAATGTGATGGCGACAATTTTTTTAGGAAAACACAGACGATAGCCACGATAGACGATGACAGTGCATATACAATGTATGTATGTAGGTATATGTGTGTACGTATCAGAGATATCCAATGCGAAGCATAGACCTCAATGACGAAAGCAGCGACAACAACAGTAAAACAAAACATTAAATATTGTATAAAAAAAATAATCGCTTGTGTACCACAGTGAAACAAAGCTATGCGACAAAAGCTATACATTTGGAAATGCTTTGTCTGACTTGAGGCACTCACAAGAGCACTCGTTAGCAGCAAGCAAAGCGCTGGCAGGATTAGCTGTAACACGCGCTGCTGCGACTGCTGCTCACTGCCAACGTCAATGCGCCAGCGACAAATGACAAAAGCCAGCGCCAGGCGCCAACGCTGGGGTGTGAGAACAACTCAAGTTGAATCGCATGTTGTTATTGTTGTTGTGGTAGTCGATTTTCTTTATGTGCACATGTAGAGGGTGGTTAAATAGCTGGTGAGATCTCGGAAAGCAGAAACAAGAATACGAGTATACAAGTTTTCCTGTTGTACGCATATGTGGGTGGTGGTGCCTGCAAGGGTGGTTAAGGGCCTGCATTACTGCAGCATTTGAAGCTCGCGCAGTAACAAACACTTCGCACCATTGAATGGCTGGCGCCTAATGTCAGCAACCTCCTTTTGTGTGCGACTCTTCGCAAATAAAAAAGAAACTATGAAAAAAAAAACGTTGAACGTGCGAAGTTGTGACTTTTGTGCATTAGCAAACCTGACTGCATTTTTAAGCATACAGCTCGAGCTGGTACTTTTCAACCACTTATCAACACTATCTTTTGTTTTATTTCACAATTGTTGGCGATTTTTTGTTGCCTCAAATACTTACAACCCAAGTTGGGGCGTTTTGTCTTGCCGATTGGTAGCGACATGTGGACATCTCTGTCGCCAACGCGCGTTGTAGAACCACTAGGAGTATCTGTAACAAACATCAAGTGATTGTGTGAATTATTCTCCTCCTCGAGGCGTTTCTCCAGTCTATGTATTCTATGTCCAATCGACTCCATTGAAGAAGTGTTTGTTTTGCTAACTGTGGATGGTATATGCGTCGACGTGGTTGGCGTTATCCTTGATCCTCCAATGCCTGCTGCGTTGGGTACTGGCACTCTTCCTAGCTGATGGTGCTGCTCACGACTGCTACTGCTGCTGCTGTGTTTATACTCCGGTGCGTCGTGCATGGGTCGCGCGTGTATTGTGTCGTGTCTGCGCTGTATATCACTGCTTTTGCCACTCCTCCGCGCGGGTGTAAGTGGATCTGCGTGTACGCTTTTTATATGTGTGCGTGTAAATTTTGTGCACTCAAAAATTTTCACTGCGAAAATTTGTTGTTAAATCTATACGCACTTCACTTTTACCGTTTAGATATAACAAAAGTACGTGCAACCACATATATTTATCTATTAAGCCGTGCACTTTTTTTTTTATTGAATTATCACTTAAATAAGAAATAAAAAGAAATTAACACGATTTTCTCACTTCTTCACAGAACACAGCTCGAAAAATACTGAAGAAGTTACAAGAAATTCAACAACGAATTACCAGGAGAAAACGAATTAGCAGATAACTAAGGGGAATGTCATAATATGACAAATGTCAGAATAAACAGAGTAGCCGATTTAAAGCGACCAAAAGCAGAAATTAATTTTTAATAAAATTAAAAAACTAATAATAAATTAAAGGCATCGGTAAATTATTAACAGGTAAACTGATGGATTGGTGGAAAACACATATTTATATATATTATAAATAAAATATTTGCTAAATATATGTTAAGTAAAAATATTTTGAATTTACTATCTAAATCCTATATCAAGCACTATCAATCTTTTCGAAAATAAAGATGACCTACTACATCTATTGTGACCCAACAATATGTAAGAAGTGGCAACGTTGAAGATCTATTTATTTACATTTTTTGTTTTTACAATGTCGGATGCATATGAGTTTGCTGCAAAAGGGAAATTAAAGCTTAAAAATGATAGCCAACACAAGAAAAAGAAAAAAAGTAAGCATAAACACAAAGACAAGGAACGTGAAAAAGTGTCTTTACAAACTAGCATAAATGAGTCGTTGGAGGAAAAAGTCACCAGTAGCGCAGCACCGAAGTTGACAAAGGCCGAACTTGCTTTTAAACAGCAGCAGGAAAAAATGGTAAGTAAAAACGTAAAGTAAAAAAAAATTTTGTGTAAAATATATGTCGCCACACAAATTGCAGCGCAATAAACGCATTATGGAGAAAGCGTCAACAACCCACAAGGAGCGAGTAGAAAAGTTCAATGAGCACTTGGATTCACTGACAGAGCACTTTGATATACCAAAGGTTTCCTGGACCAAATAGTGCCGTACTTTTGCATTGTTCATTTCAAATATAAACCAATTACTATGCTAAACTTCACATGTATATTTATTTGAGAATTAAATAAAATCCGGCATAATGCACATTTCGCTATTTAAAACATCTTAAAATTCCTAATTTACTACTACTTATGCTTTATAACTTGCTTAATGTCTAACAAATTAGGCGTTGATGCGCCTGTTGGGCTGCAAGCATATGTGTGCTCTTTGGAATTTCATATCACGCAATAATTTTCACTGAACCACTTTCCAACATCAATTGTTCAGCTTTTGCTAAATAGAATGGACTTGACAGTTTCCACAAGTGGAAATTTGGTCTTATAGGCGCGAGGACAATAGCCTTTTACATCATCTGTATTTAAAGAGAATATCATAGCGCCACCAAGTTGATGTGCCTTCACATAGAGTGCTTTACAAGCAATACTAGTCTCGTTTTCGTAAGAAATCCATTCAGTGCCACTACTAAGATAGGGTGAACAAGTTGATTGATCATATGTTTCATGAACTACTAAGTTATGCGTGTTAAACCAGCAAAGTTCTGAATAGGAAGTGAAACCCATACTACCACAACGGCCGATGTCTTCAGCAGGTGCGCCAACACCATTGTTCAATGAGCTCACCAAACTATAATAAATATTTTTTTATCTGAATAAAAAACAATTTTCAATATTTTGGCAAAAACTACTTACGTATATGAATGTCCATAGGTGGGCAAGCCAACTACCAATTTTTTACGATCCAAACCATTGGTGAGCCACCAGTTAACCGAATAATTAATATTCAATGTGCCGAGTAACGAACGTTCGTTAGGGCGTGCATATAACGGTGCATTCAAACCTTTAGTAAATTTGTTATTAAAATTGATAACTTAAGATTATTAACAAGAAACTCACCTGTGAAAGGTGTACCATGTGAGTAAAAATGATAATCGTATGTCATTAGACTCACATAGTCCACATACTGATTTAGCATCTGCACATCATAAGCGAATACAGCAATTCCCTCCGGTGCAGCTGCAGCGACAGTCAGCAAGTAATCACGGTGTTCACGCCTATATTCCTGACGTATTTCGTATATCAATTGTGAAAAATGTTGGCGTTCCTTATTGTATGCGCTGGGAAATTCCCAATCTAAATCAATGCCGTCCAGCTTATACATAGCCAATGTTTGTTTCACTGAGTGCAAGAACATTTTGCGTGTAGTATGATTTTTCACCATTGCCGGAAAGCCATCACTATTTGCGCCACCACCAATCCACAGCAATAACTTTAATGCTGGATTTATTGTGCGCAACACAAGCACATCTTCCTTTAATATGCGATGCAAATTTTCGGTTATAATCAACTGACCATTACTCGCACTAACACTAACCATGCCCACATTTATGTGGGTACAAAGTTCGGCATTGACATTGGCCAAACGTAAGTCATCAAATTCATTTTCTGGATCGGGTAGTGAATAATAGCACACTAAACGCACCTCTGGCGCTGTGCTCATCGTGGGTGGTGCATTTTTAACTAGTTGTGGTGCACTAGGTTTCACTTTTTGTTGCTGGCCATTTAAACCGCTATCTGCTGTATATGCAGGATTTTGTAATTTTACACGCACTGATTGATTTTTGACCAAACGAAAATCATGCGAAAGCGTACTCTCATGTACGCTATTGGCGTACAGGTTGGCGCGACGATACCAAAAATCGGGAACAGCTGAAATTTTAAGCAAATTTATTTGTAAGAAAATTCTTTTCCTTAATCTAAACCCAACCTTGCACATCTGGCGGATAATATATATTATCGTAAGCCGAGCTCCACAAAAGAAATACCAATATCGTGGTTAGCATATAGAGTGCCATTAATGCTGCTATGCGCCACCATGACTGCGATTGTGACGGCTCGTTCATCAATTCGTAGTCAGCCATGCCTTAACACCTTTTAATGTGCAATTGAACTCGTAAAATATTTTATTTCAAATCTTTTGTATGTAAATTTTATAAAGACACTACATTATCAGCTGGTTGAAAGAAAACGAATAAACAACGAAGTAAACAAAAAGGCCATATAGATAAATAGCGAAACAGATCCGAATTTGTACACTCCAAAAAACTGTGCTGGTTATATTGGGCTCGACAAATGCTATTAAATAATATAGTATATTTAAAGCATCTTTAAAAATTTAAAGTCAAAGTAATTTATATAAATAATTAATACAACTTTCGTTAATTTGGAATTTATTATATATGAAATAAATTAACTACAACTAAATTGCAAGTTTATAAGTAATATTCACATGCAACCCTATTGCTACCAATTGGAATTACTCGTTACTTTTCAGAACGAGTACAATTAATGTAAACAAATTCGTTTAGAGCTGCCAAAGTCAAGCTGTGTGTTTTAAACAAACACTTTTTTGTGCTTTATTCTGCCATGGCCATTTTCTTTTTTAGATATTTATTGACTATTTTTTTTAAACTAAATGGAAATTTTCACTTAGCAGCGATCTGTCTTTTGCACCAGCTCATGTTGTTTCACATTTTAAAGAGCTATGAGCGCTGGCAACCCTTATAGGAAATGTATTTGATTTTCTTTGCGCCACATTTCTTTTGAATTTCCCCGCATTCGCGTTCGTTGGTTGTGTGTGAAAGGTTTGTTTTTGTGTGTATGGAGCGTGTCGGTTTTTTAATAGAATTGTGAATTTTAATGCATTCTTTTGTGGCGCTGAATAGTGTAATTATTTTTTATAGTGCAATAAGTGAATTGTATATGTGTACATATATATAAAGAACATTGCTATACTTTGTGTGGAAATTAAAAGAAATGTGTAGCAATACTTATAGTTTATATTTGCGAAGGCATACATACATATACATTCGCACGGACGTGTCTGGCCCCCTTCTTTACATTCCGGCCGTATCAACAAATTTGGACATATGTACATATTAACAAATCCTGCTATCTCAGTGGTGGCTTGCAATAGTGCTCAACTGCGATATAAAAAAAAATAACAACCAACTACTTCAGCTTCTACTCAGCTACAAGTACTGTTTCAAGTGTCACAGCGTCGCCACCCAACCACTTTTTATTGTGCCACTTCAAATGTGTGCATTTTATATGATTGCAGTTACATGATACTGTCTGCATGTGTGTTCTACTAACATCAGTTCCAACCCAACCACCCACCATTGTGTATGTGCACGCAGCTGCCCCGCCCTGTTCAACGACTCTAGCCTCTTCACGGCGCTCCAAACCATTATTTTGTACAAAGTATAACATTTATCTTCACATTAACATGCGCAATGTTGTTGGCTGCTGTCTCCAACACGCATTTGTTGTTGCTATTATAATAATTTGTGAATGTATGATTGCTACCAATCTTCCAATTTGCATTCACATTTAAGCCTGGTGTATGAGAAAATCCAATTTCCTTGCTGTTTTGCTACTTCCTGCTTTTATCATTTTCATCCTTTCCGCGTACCAAAGCGGCAAACAACAAACAACTCAGTGCACCAGCCAGTCGGACAAAAATCGATAACGACGCTGTTGTGCGACGCTGCTTGGTTTGTTGTCATTTGTCGTTGGTGTTTGAGCCAGCTATCCTTGCTGAGAGCTGTCGTAGTTGTTGTTGCTGTAGCTGCCACACAGCATTTGTTTGTATTTTGATTTTAATTTCCTTCCTTGTGTCTGTTGGTGGTTGGTTAGCGGGTTTGAACCAGCCGTTGGTTTGCCGCGTTTGCACAGGGGCGCAAACGCAAACCATTTTGTACAAAGAATTTTGTTTTTCTGCTTTCAGTGAACTAAAATTTTGTTAGCACTTTAACCACATACATAATTTAAAAAGCTTATTCATTCATGCTTTTAAAACGCATTTTAATGTTAAATGAATTTTTAAAAATTCAGCATTGTACGCGTCAAAATGTGTATGCCTGCTTTTCCCACCATATTTATAGAAAAACCACGCACTTGCAACAATTTGGGAATTAATGTATCTTAAGCCGAATTTGAGTCGATTTCTCTGGCATTTTCTTCCACAACTAGAAAGTTTCAAATATTTTAAAAAATGTAAGATACATCTAATCAAATAACGAATATTAATGTCTGTCCGCTAATTATTATCCGTTAATGACTCGTTGTTATCACTCTCTCCCAACTTTTATTGTCACTTCGACTGTCAATTGTCAATAGTTAGGAAAGTGTTGTGCATTATAGACTTTGATTCACTATAATTTTCCAACACCCCCAAAAATGGGAAAACATATGCTGGTCATGCCACCAACAAAATGCGCTGACAACCACGCA